CTCACCTCTGGTCAAGCTGAGGTAAAGTCACATGTTTTGCAAAGAGCGGTCCGGACAGCTAGACTCGAAGTACCTTGACATGCAGTCTATCTTACGTCTACTCGTACCTTGGCTCTAGCATCAGACCACCAACACCTCGCATTGTCTGCACGACTCCCAACATGGCCACTTCCCACATCAGGCGTATAACTGGGACACGCACCCGTTGGTGTCCCACGAGATTTGATTCGTGCAGCATTTATTCATCATTTACACCATCGAAATCTCCATCTCCTAATACTGAAAAAACATGGACGAAATAGCAATGAAACCCCGAGACCTCGTCCGCAAATTCGAGGACCTCAAACGCGGCGATGTCGCCCTCGTCGGGGGCAAGAATTCGTCCCTCGGCGAGATGATCAGCGCCCTCGAGTCCAAAGGCGTCGCCGTCCCCGGCGGTTTCGCTACGACATCGGAGGCCTACTGGTATTACGTCGATTTCAACGGCATCCGCGGCAAGATCGCCGATCTCGTTTCCGAGTGGCAGGAGGGCAAGCTCAGTCTGCCCGAGACGGGACACATGGTGCGCAGCTTATTTCTCCGCGGGAGCTGGCCGGCGGACGCCGCCGATGCCATCAAGAAGAGCTATCGCGAGCTCTCGGCGAAATCGGGCGTCGCGAACTTGGGCGTTGCCGTCCGTTCTAGTGCTACGGCCGAAGATCTGCCCGATGCGAGTTTTGCTGGCCAGCAGGAGACGTATCTCAATATCTCGGGGGAGAACGCGCTTCTCGACGCATGCAGGCGTTGTTATGCCTCGCTGTTTACCGACAGGGCCATCAGCTATCGGCAGAACAAGGGGTTCGACCACATGTGTGTTGCGCTCTCGATCGGCGTCCAGCGCATGGTCCGGTCGGATCTGAGCGGTTCAGGCGTAATGTTCTCCCTGGACACAGAGAGCGGTTTCGACAAGGTCGTCTTAATCAACGCTGCATGGGGTCTGGGCGAGAACGTGGTGCAGGGAACGGTAAATCCCGACGAGTACCAGGTCTTCAAGCCGCTCCTGGACAAGCCCGATGTGGTGCCCATCCTACAGAAAAAGCGCGGCGACAAGTCCATCAAGATGGTCTACGGCGACAAGCACATGCCAACGCGCAATGTGCCCACGTCCAAGGCAGAGCGGGCGGCCTTTGTCTTGACCAACAGCGAAATTCTTCAACTTGCACGGTGGGCATGCACTATCGAATCCCACTATGGTTGTCCCATGGATATGGAATGGGCCAAGGATGGCATCTCGGGAGAGCTCTTCCTCGTCCAGGCCCGGCCCGAGACGGTGCACTCACGCCGCGACGCCGCCGTCTTCAAGACGTACAAGGTGGCTAACAAGGGGAGGGTCTTGACGACAGGTCGTTCGATCGGCGATGCCGCCATTTCCGGGAGAATCTGTCTCATCGAGTCGGCCAAGGATATCGACAAGTTTATCGACAACTCGATCTTGGTCACTGAATCGACCGACCCCGACTGGATGCCCGTCATGAAGCGTGCGGCCGCCATCATCACGGACCACGGTGGGCGAACCTCACACGCGGCAATTGTTAGTCGTGAACTGGGTCTTCCCTGCGTTGTCGGGACTAGCAACGCTACCTTCGTCCTCCACACGGGACAGGACGTGACAGTATCCTGTGCCGAAGGCGACACGGGTTTTGTCTATGACGGCATCGCCGACATTTCATCCCAGACCATCGACCTCACGAATCTACCTACAGTCCATACCAGCGTCATGCTCAACCTCGCCGACCCGGCATCGGCATACCGCTGGTGGCGTCTCCCGGCAGACGGTATCGGTCTCGCACGCATGGAGTTTGTCGTGAGCAACGCGATTCGGGTACACCCCATGGCGCTCGTCCACTACGACACGCTGCGGGACGAAAACGCCAAGAAGGAAATTGCCACGCTGACGGCAGGCTACGACCACAAGCCCGACTACTTTGTCGACAAGCTATCCCACGGTCTGGCCTCCCTCTGCGCGGCCGTGTACCCCAAACCGGCCATCATCCGGATGAGCGACTTCAAGACGAACGAATACGCCAATCTCCTCGGCGGTGCCGAGTTCGAGCCCAAGGAAGAAAACCCCATGATCGGCTTCCGCGGCGCGTCACGATACTACTCCCCGCTCTACCGGGAGGGTTTTGCCCTTGAATGCGCAGCCATCCGCCGGCTGCGTGACGAGATGGGCCTGGTCAACGCGGTCGTCATGATCCCCTTTTGCCGGACGGTCAACGAGGCCAAGAAAGTGCTGGCGGTGATGGCCGAGAACGGCCTCGTGCGCGGCGAGAAGGGGTTGCAGGTGTACGTCATGTGCGAGATTCCTTCGAATGTGATCCTGGCCGAGCGGTTCACGGAGCACTTTGACGGCTTCTCGATCGGGTCCAACGACCTGACGCAGCTGACGCTTGGTGTTGATCGGGATTCGGGCGAGCTGTTGTCGGATCTCTTTGACGAGCAGGACGAGGCGGTCAAGTGGATGATTGCGCGCGTGATCCATGTGGCGCGCAAGAAGGGGCGCAAGATTGGCATCTGTGGACAGGCGCCGAGCGATCACCCCGAGTTTGCGAGGTTCTTGGTCGAGGCGGGGATTGATTCGATTTCGGTTACTCCTGACAGTTTTGTGGCGGTTAAGCGGCATGTTGTGGAGAGTGAGAAGAAGGAGTAGTCGTCGTTTATGCTCTCAGGGGCATTCGTATGGTAATGAATTGGAAGATTTGTATATTCTATCTCGGTGGCTTTCGGTGCCTGTATCATGTTTGGACTTGGTATCGACAATTAAATTTGTGCAAAATACTTATTTCTGTATCCGTACATTGCACGCAAGCGTGTGGGTGTTCTAGTGCAGACTGTCACCGTGGCGCGAAGAAATTGGCGGGTGTAGAGTGGTTGGGAAGCCAGATTCTAATTGGAAATATAAATCTCGTAGATACCCGAGTAGAAGACTCAATTTTCCCAGGTAGCTACCACTGGGATAGATCGCCCGTTGGGAAGAAACGGACCTGCATGACACTGATGATGACATCCCCCTTTGTGGACGCCGTCGACGACTCCCAACACATGCTCCTCAAAGAACTCGCCAGGCACAATCCGGGCCGAAGAATCAATGAAAACAGCCAAACAGCTGATAGCTCGGTGTTCTGGGATTCGGAGATTAACATTGTACTGGTACCTGTGAGGTGTCACACCACCAGGCCAATGATCACCAAATCCGTCATCCTCTGACACTGAATCAGGCCACGTCCAGGAACAACGCCCAGCATGACACCACACGGCATTTTCTCTGGGATTTTAAGTTTCTGTTATAACCGATTCGGTGCTGCGTCGTCAATAACATCTCGGACATTGTTTACACACCTACCTCTTAGCTGACACCCACACACATACTCAACAAAATAACATTCCAGACATATATACTCAACAAACAACACACAACAACAGAGAGAGACGGAACCAAAGAAAAAAACATGGAAACAACCCAAACCCGAAAACGCATCGCCCTAATCGGCGCAGGCCAAGTCGGCGGCGCAGCCGCCTACGCACTAATCCAATCCTCCCTCGCAGCCGAGCTTTTGCTGGTAGACACCAACATCGCCCAGCGCGACGCCCAAGTCCGCGATTTGAGTGATGTAGCCTTCGCCACGGGAAGCGGCACGCGCGTGCGCGCCGCGACGTACCACGAGGCCGGCCAGGAGTCCGACGTGGTCGTCATCACGGCCGGGTCGCGGCACACGCCCGGCCAGAGTTTTGGAGAGTCCGCTGCGCGCAACGTGTCCATTGTGCGGAATGTTGTGAGCGCCATGACGCCGTTTCGGAAGGACGCGGTGCTGCTGGTCGTTTCGAATCCGGTTGATTTGCTTACCTCGCTTGCGGGCGAGTTGGCGAGGTTGCCTAGGACGCAGGTGTTTGGGTCGGGGACTTTTTTGGAGTCGGCGAGGTTGAGGGGGTTGATTGCTGATCATGTTGGTGTATGTTTTGCCTCTGCTCCGTTTATTAAGAGATGGAACTGATGATGGTTAGATTGCTGCAAACTCTATCGACATGTACGTCGTCGGCGTGCACGGCGAGAACCAGGTCCCCGCCTGGTCGACCGCCACCGTTGGCGGCGTCCCGCTCGATACCGCTCTTCCGGCTGGCCAGATTGACCGCGCCGCGCTGGCCGACGAGTGCAAGCATTTCTCGGACGACGTGATCCGGACCAAGGGGTCCACGCCCTTCGGCATCGGCGCAATCATTGCGAGCCTGTGCGCGTCTGTCCTGCTGGATCGCCGCAATGTGCGGCCGGTGAGCCACTTTGTGCCCGAGTTCGGCTGCTGCGTGAGTATGCCGGCCGTTTTGGGACGGCAGGGGATCGTGAGGACGATTCAGATGCCGTTGGCGCAGGAGGAGGGGGAGGCCGTGGCGGAGTCGGCTGGGGTGGTTAAGAAGCAGCTGGATCGGATTCTGGAGGATTGTACGCCGCGGCAGTGGTGATTTTTTGGGGGGTTTTGTACAGTGGAGGATGTCATGTATTTATGGAATAGTTTGTGGGATGTAAAACAGATCGAATATCAATGCATTTTGGGAGGTAACTTCTCAGCTCAGACGCATCTGCCAACTCCACATATACTATTATAATTATTTGTCCTAAACCGTAAGAAGCTGAAGGCTTCTACCCTTTAAGGGGATAAGAGGTCCCTCTTCTAGGTGGTTATAGCGCACGAGTGCCTCACTGCCTACTATCTAATCCTCGGTACGCATCCGCATGGGTCCTATCTATATCTCTTTCGTAATCCACTCGATTAGGCTCTTCTGCGCCTAGGACGCGACTGTACCAAAAGAAAAGAAAAAGAAAAAGAATGAAAATGGGGGTCCGAGGGAAGGTGCTGCCCTGTAGGCTGTAGTTGGTCCGAGGGAGGCACGTTTTCTGTTCTTGCCCCTGTTCAAACTCTGCATATATATAGCAACTAAGAAGCACTAGAATCAACAAGCAACAGCAAGTCACCTTGGCGGAGTGGTTAACGCGCTGCCCTGCTAGTTTCAGTGACACTTCACTTTCCGAATCGGTAATATTAAAAAATCGTCCACATGCGAAGATTGTTGACCGGAGAGACGCTACCACTCTGGTGGACAAACAGCACAGGACGACACAATTGGACCTGTACCGCTCTCCCTTGCTGGAGGCATTCAGGCATTTAAAACAAAATTATACCGACGCGGACAAACAGTGAGTGTACAACAAGTCAGGCAGTTCCCTCGGGAGCGTAGGTTCGAATCCTACAGGTGACAACGAGCATTGAAATCATGTTGTTCCATTCTTTTTTCTTCTTTGTATTTCAGGATATAACTGTCACGGCAGCTGGCGCAGCGCCATGACTACAGCTCGTTCGTTACCTCGACCCTACGCCAGGGCCGTGACACCTTCCCCTTCCCGCTCGGTCAGCTGCGCTCCAGCCTACTACCCGACGAACGATGCCACAGTGTTCGATCTACTTGGCTGGAAGGCTGGAGGGCTCTGGACTGTGTAGAATACCCCCCACCTTTTCACTCCTGTCCAGCAGTAGCCAACCTCTCCCTCTCCACCATCTTCTTATACTCAACCCAATCATCACTCCTCGGAAACGGCGTGCCCTCGACCGGAGCTTCGACCCCAAGAAACTCGCAAAGAGGTCCCCAGCCGTCCTGCGGCTGCCACTCGAGAAATTTCCTGTCTCGTCCGAGCTCTCTAACCAGCGCGTTGTGCTCCCTGAAAAATGCCCGTCCGGTCACCTCGAAATCATCACCCCAGCAGTGGTGGTGATACTTGCGGGACAGGGTAGCCATAGGCGACGACGACGCATCATCGCTCTTCTCGCGCCGTCTATGGGCGTGTACTAGCGTGGCCAGCATCGAGTCGTACCATTTATCCTCGGACCGGATGGACAAAATGACGGCGGCCTCGGGGTAGGCTGCGGCTAGTTCGGCGGGGAATATGGATGCTGGGTAGTCGGCTACGCCCTTTTTCAGCAGGTAAGTGGTGGTCTTGAAAAAGAAGGGGGGTGTGGGAGGGGGCGGACTTGGAAGCCGGAGAGGATTCTCTCGAAATCTTCACGTTTCCAGGGGGCACCGATGCCCTCGAACTTGGCGTCGATTGCTTCGATCCAGAGGGCTTGGTGTTGGTTCTTGCCGACCTCGCGCATGTGGTAGATGGGGGATATTCCTAGCTGGATTAGGGCGTCGGCGAGGGCTTGTTTATTAACTTGTTAGTTTTGTGTCTCTGGTTTTTTTAGATGGTAATAGGGGTGAGTAAGGTACATTGAGTGCCGGTACGAGGGAGGCCGAGGACGAGGACTTTCATCTTGTCTGGTCACTATACTGGCGCATGACGCACTCAAGGCTGGTGGTTACTGAGGGTGGGAATCTGTGGATTGTATAAAAGGAGGCTGTGGGATGTGCGGCGATTATTAGGGTATCTCTATCTTTGCGTCCCTATGCCCATCTCGAGTGGTCACAAGCAGCTTACAGCGATCCAACTCGGACGTGGACGAATCCAAGAGCGCTTCAACATTGACGCCATTCACGGTGTGAGCGATTTTACCCGTGACGGATGACCAAACTCGGCGAGAAAGGTAACATTATCGCATCCTGAACGGGGAAACCCGGGCGGTTGGGGAAAATACGGGGCGGCACGCCAAACTCAAAATCCGACAGCCTCCAACTGATTTTGGAGTCTTTTCCTTCTTCCATTTTTCCCCTATTTATTACGATTGCTGCAGTGGCGCCCAACAAATTCTGAGGCGCCTTCCCTTTCGAGGCTGCCCTCTTGAAACAGAGAATGGACCCACTCTGCAACTGTCTTGTCTGCTTACCTAATCCAGACGCGCTCCATCACGAACTGCTGCACGGACATTTACTTGAAGGAAGCAACGCGCTGTGGCAGAACACAGAAAAGAGATTCCACCGATTTCGGGAAGTAACGATGCAGTCGGTTGGAGAAAGGATCAGCGGCGGCTGGGTCGCTTGCCAATTTGTTTGTGGGGGGAGCCGCAGACTCTTCCCTCTGTCACTCTTTACCCGACTCATCAATCCCAAGATGCTGGGAAACAGTGCATCTCCCCCACCGGGATTTGGTCCCCAAATTCCTGTCTTTGCCAATGCGCACAGGGAACAGGAACAGGCGACAGTCAAGGGCAGCCAGCAGTGGGGGCTCTTCGGTGACCCGGCCAGCTGCCCACCGGCTTGTTTGCAGTGGGTGAGTGGTTGCTGGATCCAGCCAGGGCACACACAGAGATCTCGGCATCTCACCCTGATATGCTCAATGACGTAGCCAGCTGCCCGTTCCAAGGTCCTGGCCAAGACGCGGTCCCTGGCGCTGCTGGGACTTTGCACCTTGGACCGTCCTGGATGCTCTCAAAATGCATCCAATGGGCGGCCGTCTTCCTGTCGTCGCGACGTGCATTTTTACTGCGTCCTCAGACCACTCGCCGTCCATCAGTCCCGCCGCCCTGCAGCTCCCTCGGCCACCTTCATCCTCGCCGGGCTCCCCACCCCTGACGGCCGTCCTCCGGTCTCCCTTCCCCTCCCGGCTTTTCCTCTGCTCCCTCCTCGCTGGCTGCCCGACCCTGAGCCTGCTGTCTCGGGTCTCGGCCCGTCCCAGGTCCGCTCTAGGCGCACCACCTCCCCTCCGTGTTGCCCGCCTTTTCGTCGGCCCCTAACAAGTGACGACGGACGCTTCGAGTCTTGGCTGCCAAGTGGGAGCGCTCCTCTCGTACCTGACCGCCTCTGCTGCCTGATAGCCGTCTTCCCGCTCCATGTATCGGACCCCAAGACCCAGGCGAGCCTCCTTCTCCGCGAGAAGATGAGCAATATCCCCGCGACGCCGGCTGCCCAAGCGACCGTCGCCAGTCCTTCGGCCGCCCCCTTGTCCGGGTCGAGCCTCAGAAAGGAGAGGGGTGCCATAGCTGCCCAGGTAGGCGAGCCGAGCCTTTGTTGCTGCTGGCCCTCCTCCCCTCCGTTGTTCCTCGAGACGCCCCTTTTCGTGGAGAGACAAGTCGTTGGCTAACCTCGCAGGCTTGCGATACGTGTCGAAGTCGGAAGCAGCGGTGCGATGAACAGCGCCCCAAGTGCGGCACATGCCAAAAGTTCAAGCTCGAGTGTAACTACCGCGAGCCCCAACCGACCAAGTAGGTCTCCTCGTCGTCGTCTTGGCCGTGTCTCGGCTGACTGGGTTCCAGGAAAGACAAGACGTTGGTCGAGATACTCGACCGCATCAAGGGCCTCGAGTTCAAGATTGACAGTTTAGCCTTTTCCGGAGCTTTCTCGCCGCCAACGATACACCATCAGCTCCACCACCCTACCACGCTCGAGTCGACCGTGTCCAGCGCGGCGACGGCCCCTATCCTCGGCCCGCCGCTCCCGACACCATCCTATAACCCCCACGATGCGTCCAGCGCGTCCTCGTCGGCAGATGACCACTACAAGTATGTATCGTCGGTGCACCAGCTGCTGGCATGGCCAGCCGTCCACCAACTCCTTGTTGCCGCCCAGGCCAAGAAGCCCACGTTTGATCTTTCGTCGATCGAAGAAAAACCGACAAGCATACTCGGCCTTCACAGCCCGCCGAGCCAGAGCCTGCACCCGAACCGCATGCCGGACTCGACCGTCAGCATCCACCCCGGAGTTGCCAGTAGCGTTCCGATGACAGTGTCGAGCCTGAACTGGGACACGATCCAGAACTTGAGCAAGGCCTACTTTGACAGCTGGAACTTGCTGTTTCCCATCCTGGACCGCCACTCGTTTCTCTCCACCACGATGCCGTCTGTCTTCAACGAGGGGTTCGGCCCGGGCATAGGATCGACCATGGCGTTTCTGGTCTTTGCTCTCGGTGAGGTGGCGCTGGCGGGTTCGGATGGGCTTCCGATCCACGCGCACAGCGGCAGGCCTAGCGGAGTAAAGGGGGGTACAAAGGATCAACCGCCGGGGCTAGACTTTTTTAACGAGGCCAGGAAACGGATCGGCTTCAACCTGACCGAATGTAGCATCGAGAACATACAGATTTTCTCGCTTGCAAGGTGGGCTCCCCTTTCAAGGCTTCAGGTTGCTGCAGATGCTTACGGATAACAGCATGTACTATGGATCTTGTTTTTATGCCATGGTAAGTTGCCGGTGATGCTCTCGAACCGGCGCTGACCTTGTGTAGGATCTCTGGAGGATGGCAACGTCGGCGTCTCTGGCATGCCAGGCCCTGATCACAAGGTATAGGACTCGGCAGTGCGATGCGATGGCGCCAGGGCTGACATGGTCAAGTAATCCAGAAGAACTTTCCTCTCCTCGTGCCGATCTGGTACGGCGACTGTTCTGGAGCTGCTTGATAGTAGAGACGTACGTTCTCTTTGCTTGGGGGTAACCCGATTTTCTAACACGCTGGCCAGGTCTCTACATCTCGAATTTGGTTACCCTCTCTCGGGACTGGAGAAGCTGGAACCCGTGGTTGGACTCCCGGGCTTCAGCGGGCCCTTCTCGGATGAGGATTACCTGTGCAACCAAGAGTCGCATTTCCAGGAGCACTTTGCCTCGCAGATCGTCCTCCGCCGGCTCTTGGTGGACTTTCATGGCGTGCTCAGCCAAGATCCCGCAATGACGCCACCTCCCGGCGCGGTTCCGACCGCCTTTGGCACTTCGGCCTCTGGCGTGAACCGGCTCACGATGCACCAGCTCGCCCTCCAACTCGAGCAATGGCGCGGCATGCTGCCCGCCCAGCTCCGCTGGCAGGAGGAAACACCTGGTGCCTTCCCCAACGCGGCCCAGTCCGTTTTCTCGACCGCCGGCAGCAGCGCGACGCCCCTATCCCCGGCCATGCCGCAGGCCACATCCGTCTCGGGCGTGGGACCGACGATCCAACCGACGGCGGCGCAGAACGTCACAACCACCACCCCGCTCATGTTCACGACGGATCTCGATGCGCCTCCGAGCCGGTTCCCCTTTTCGCTCGACATCCAGGTAGCCTTTTTACGGTCCCGGTACTACTACACCAAGTATCTCATACACCGACCGTTTATCGTACGTTTTTTTTCTTTTTTCAGGGAGCAGTTACTAAATCACCATCAACAGTACAAAGCCGTCCATTACCCCGACGCAGTGACGCACGACGACGCCCAAGGCGCAGCAGAGTGTCTCAAAGCCACGCTGAAATGGCCCGTTGCCATGTCGCCCACGTGTACCCGCAAGCGGCTGATTCCGTGTCTCTTCTTCTTCAACCAGAACATTTTTGGCATTCTCATTCTCTTGCGGTTAAGCACGACGGTGCCGCT